GCACATGCAGGAGTTGCACTGCACCTTGCGAGTGATCCTGCAGTCTCCTGGGACCTGTGATGTGTCCCAGAAGACTGTAGGCAAAGAGAAGGGGGCCAAACTTTCTGCTTGGACAGCCTAGATGATCTGAGCAGAAACCTATTAAAATGAGGTACCTGCTCCTCCACAAAAAAAAAAAAATGTGTGTGTGTGGTGGTGGAAAGGGGGGGGGGGGGGGGGTATGGGAGATGGGGGGTGAGAAAACCTTCCCCTTTTGGGTTTCTGCTTCAATGAGGAAGCCTGTGCACTGAAATCACAATGCACTGTTCACAATTGAAAGGCTCTACAGGCTTCATTGCAAAGATGTAATAAGGATGATAAATGCTATGTACTTTTCTACTTTGTCTTGAATCCACACACCTCTTTCTAACCCATCCTGCAGTGTGTTAGTCCATTTCCTCTATGAACAAAGCCAATATTCCTGCTCATTATCCTCTTTTCTTATGGAACTGCTCCCCTCATCACCCACGGAGTTCCCCTAACTCTGGAGCCCGTGACAGAGAACCAAGCCACTGGAAGCATGTATGTGAAACAGCTAGTGATGTGGACACCCAAGGATTAACCCCAGATAGTAAACAGAAGAGGATCACCATGTGACCATGGCTTCAGTTCAGTATAATGGGCACTATTTTTTTTTTTTATACACGGTCACAGACGGGGAGGGGGGGGGGTTTGCTAATATCCTGGAGTTGAGTTTTAAATTAACGTGCATGCATTTATTACGTTTTTGCAAAAGGTGGACTATGAGTTTAAAAAACATCCCACCACCTCAAGTTTCTGGAGCTAAACAGAGCCAATAGGTAATTTTTTTTTTTATTTTCTAAAGCAAAGACCATTTGTGTGGACAGCCCGTGCTTTTAGGATCATTGGGAGTATCTGAAAGGCCACTAAACTTTCCACAGTCCATTCTACCAAAGTGCTTTCCTGTGTTAATATAATCAACAGTACGACTGAAGCCTGCAACATTCCTAGAGTTAGGAGCTGATGCCAACAGTTCTGAAATGGAGGGCAGGGGATCAAACTATGAAGCCAAGAATGTTATGACTTTGTACTATAATTGCCATGTATTCTAAGAAAAGAAGGCCAGGCTCTGAACATATGAACACAGCTCAAGCAGATTTCCTTGTGCATTGCTGTGCAGCAATGGCTGTTTATGAAGGACTTCTGCATTCACGCCTCCTCCTGTCACCTCCCCTTAGTCTCCCTCCCCATTGTGCAAGAGTCATGAGGTAGTCCTGGCTTCCCTAAGCTTGTTTACAGTTTCAAGTTTTCCTGGAGGCATGGCTAAAAATGTCTAATAAAGACATACATCTACACATATGGGGCAATGTGCACTTTGTTCAGAGGGAGAATAACTTCCCAGGAGTAATGTTATGAAAGAAAAACAAGCACATGACTGCACAGTACAATCCAAAATATTGTGAACATTCATTTCTGTTCCTCAGCACACCACGCTTAGCCTCAGTTCACACTGATGCGGAATTCAAAGCAGTTTGTGCGAATTCCAGATTGCATCACAATCGCACCCCGTTCATGCGCACCACCACGGGTGTGTATGTTAATACCCCAAAATCAGTCCGCAAAACACAGCCCAATGTGCAGACCCATGCGATCCAATTCTAGTGCGGACCAAAAAAAGGGTCCTGCACCTTTTTGGTGCGGATGTGGTGCGATTTGAGCCAATGTATGGCTAAATCACACCGCACAAAATCTGCATATAATTTGCACAGGAATGCGGTGCGATTCCTGTGCAAATCACATGCGATATGCCGCACCGCACAAGTGTGAACCCAGGCTTAGTCCTCATGCACATGGCTGCACAGCATGCAGGGGCTGCATGACAATCCTGGGAGCCACCACTTTAAGATGCATTAGAAATGGCAGTTGTACATGTAAAGCACCCACATGCGCAGCAATGTATGACCTGAACGCACATATTTAAAAAAACATACCACAATGCTCATGCGGATGCTTTACACAAACCCCCAGAACAAAAGCATATACAGCTGCCTCCTCTAGTGTGAATGGCAGTATGGTTCAGCAGCAGGCCCTGGCACTCTCTGTGGGCCGGAAGTCTTATAATTATGAAGGCCATGAACTAAAGTTCCTCAATTAAAGGCCCACTCTTGCACAAAAGTTGTGTTCTGGTAACTATGTGGTTAACATTGGACTGGTAGCATTCATTAACTGAATATCTTACCTGCAGACCAAGCTGAAGCTGGAAGTTATAGGGGTGGGACAAGAAACTGACTACAAGCTTTACAGCAGTTGTCTTATGTGCTTGAACCTTTTTACGAAAAAAAAAAAAAAAAAAAAAAAAAAAGCGTCGCTATAACTAATGCATTTTCACTTACCCAAATTACATTTAAAAGACTACACTGTACAACAGAGTAATCAGCACTGGCTCCCGATTACATAAAGTGAAAAAATAAGATCTACTGGTTGATCAGCAGGTAATAAAACTAATTGCATTAATGCTGGTGAAAGACTGCAGCATGTCATTTTTCCTTCAAAAGTTCCACTCAGTCCTCATGCACCAGGGCTCTTGGATTTTTATAATAAAATGTAGTGGCTCGGGAGCCATAGTTGGTGCTTATATAGCTGCCCACACAGAACAATCACTGTATGCCAGTACTTATGTAAATGCACACACATACAGACATATCTCCCTAGTTAAACAGTTTGCATCTAAAGGTCATATGTCCGCATGCATGGGCATGTTTATGCAAGCACCAGCATATACCCGTGGTATTCTATGCGTGGCTGCAAGGAACACCTCTGGCCACAAGTGGTCTCCATTGTACAGCCTGAGGTGCCAGTGTTGAAAAAAATATATCTTCTGTGTTCAGATTGATACAGTGTATGCTTTTCTGCATGTCAGAATGCATCAGTATTGTATATTATAGGCCTATGCACACAACAGCATTGTGCTCAGTATAAAATCAAAGTAGAAAATCCTGCACTTATAAATCTTTGGTAGATACATGTGAATAGATACAAATTTACAATAAAAATGGAGCTAGAGGTATGGAAAAAATTTGAACATCTAAACGCATGCAAACTTAAGCCTTTTATGGATTGTCAGGGCTTGCGCACATGGGTGTCTGGCATAGTAGAACATAAAAATTTGGGTGCATTTCTCCCAATCCGGAAGCCACAGCTGCTCACAGAAATCAATAATGGCATGTGGCTATAGGACAGTATATGCCAGTACTTGTATAAGAATGTGTACTGACATGGCCCACTGACGACTACCAAGTACTGGTATGTATACCTGTACACAACTGCATCCTGTTATTGAGGTCTATGGGTAGCTGTAGCTCCCAGGTAGGGAAATACACCAGAATTTCATGTCCTAAAGCAGCCTCTCTCAACCAGGGTTCTGTGAAACCCAAGTGTTTCCAGGGGTTTTTTTTTTTCCCCCAGAGCAACTTCTACCTCTCAGATGAGTATATACTGCCAACACATCTTTTCAGCTATCTGTAAAGGAGATCATTGAGGAGAATCCCAAGTGTAAGGAGCAGTCTTCCTAGTAACCATCACACTAATGTGACTTGAGCTGTAGATATAGTAATTTTCAGCAGGGGTTCCCCCAAGTCTGGAACATTAGTTCAAAGATTCCCCAGTGGTTGAGAAAGGCTGATCTATGATGCCAGGCATCCATGTGCATGAGGTCTAATAATTTCCATGGGTGGCTGTATGCAGCAGCTGTTGCTCCTGGGTGGAGAAATACACCCAATTTTTCACATTCTATAGCCCCAGGCGCCTCTGTGCATGAAACCATGTGTGTGGATATTATGCAGGATATTTCTGCCAGTGAATTCCTGTGTAGATATCAGTATATTATATCTATCTGTGATTCCTTACGGTTCATTCACACTACAATGCACATAAAAACAGTCAACTGCGTTTGTGTGCATTTCTATGTTTTTCCTCAAATCCATTTTTTCTCTGACCTAATTATTGCGGGTGAAAAGTGCATTGTGTATCTGTGTGATCTCATGCTGCAAAATAAATAAATCGCATAGCTATGAACGCAGAGAAACGCCGCATTCTGGTGTGAACACGACACATAGGACACTACGGTTTGAGATGCATCATTGCAGTTTCCAAGAAGAAACACAGGTAATAGCATGTAGTGTGAACGGGAACTGATGAAAAAGTGTAGGAATTCTGCAAGGCCTGTTGGCTTGGGAATCGGAGCAGTGTGCGATGTATGGAGCCGCCCCATCATGTCAGAGCACGTGCATCGTGTTTTGTATTTCCAGCTGGGTCCCAGATTTACCTACACCGTGCACGGACCAGAGCAGGCCAGCCATGGAAAGTGAGAACAAGTGACAGCTAGGTGAGGCCCAGCACCCCCCTGCCTGATGGATTGTGCAATCACTGTGTGCATGTGGGGAGGCCATGCAGGCTGTGTACGGACATGACTAGCATGTGATCGCTGCGTTCACCACCAGCAGCTCAGGGTGGGACCGCCCTAGGCCTCACATCCAGTTGCATGTTCTGTCTGCAGCCAGCTCCCAGCACAGTCCCTGCCTGCACCCAGGACAGGCCCTGTCTGCACCCAGCCATCTCCCAGGACAGGCCCTGTCTGCACCCAGCCATCTCCCAGGACAGGCCCTGTCTGCACCCAGCCATCTCCCAGGACAGGCCCTGTCTCCATCTCCCAGGACAGGCCCTGTCTGCACCCAGCCATCTGCACCCAGCCATCTCCCAGGACAGGCCCTGTCTGCACCCAGCCATCTCCCAGGACAGGCCCTGTCTGCACCCAGCCATCTCCCAGGACAGGCCCTGTCTGCACCCAGCACCATCCTACGCTGCAGTCCCCCCTCCAGGCCTTTCCCCATCACGAAGCACACTAATAAGCCCCCCTATGTATTGCAGCGCTGAGCCCACCTCCCACACACAGGCAGTCATGCCCCTCCTCAGACCTCACGTAGGCCTCAGCGTTCACTTACCTCCAGGGGTGGTGGAGAAGAGGGTCCCCCCGGGGGTGGTGCAATAGTCATGAGGTAGCTGAGATGAGTCGCTGATGTGGATGGTCCTGGTGGGGATGGCCCGGCTCTGGCTGTGCTGGTGTCCGGCTGACATGTTCCTGGCCTGGAGGATGTGTGTGTGGTGGGGGGAGAGAGAAAGAAAGCAAGACAGGGCCGGAGAGCGGGGCTGGGAGGAGCCGGCTGAGGTAGAGGGTGCACGATAGGGGAGGGCGGTGCGGAGCGCCTTCCTTCTCTTTCCCCCTCCGCCCTTCACAAGCTCGTGCCTGAGTCAGGAAACACGACCAGGAAATGACGCCACGGCCCGCGTGCTCTTAACCCTTCCATGGGCCAGGCTGATGCAACAAGCGTGGCACGGTGGGGGAGGCCCCCTAGGCTGACAGGCCGAGATAAGGGGGGCGTGAGGGGCCCCCAGCTAGTCTGTCAGCAATGGAGGGAGAAACTGCGAACAGCACATGTACACAGCACCGTCACCACAAATCAAAGTACACCGCCATGGTGTCATGCTGATCCCTGCAACTTCACGTGATGAAAACAACGGGAGAATCTTCTGGTGGCCATACACACAATATATTTCATCAGATCCATGTGCAACTCAATCAAAAAGATGGACAAATTGCCACCATACACTCTTCCACACTGCGGCCTGAAGGACGCTCAGTACATCGTTTATTACTGATCTGAATGCAGCCCATTGCTTACAATGTGCCTGTACACACAGGTGCGTAAACAAGCGCTGCGTAGTCTTCATTATAGAAACATTTCCATTCCTGGTCAGTAGTTTGTACCGGTACGAACATATGAGCATAATTATTCATGAATTGTGCCTGGGTGTGTACTGTGCGCAAAAAAAAAATGCCGAAAATTATGTTCAGAAATGCTCAAACAGTACTGTGTGCAAGAGGCCTAACGATGGCCATACACTGATTTTATTATTCAATCAATTCAATCAATAAACCAACTAATGGTGGCCGCCTGTAAAAGCAATCTAGAGGCTAATCGCTTTTACATGGAAGAACGTCGCTGGCAGAAAAGAAGATGCCGACGGGATGCCTGTAGCTGCCGGCACTATTATCCCAGTATAACCACTTCAGCCCTAGTGACATACCGGTGCACTGCTGAGGGTGAAATGCCTAATATGAGATGCAATCAAACGATCGACTAATGGTCACCATACATACTATGATTTTAGTATCCAACAGGTGCGGACTGACCATTTGGAAACTCGGGCACTGCCCAAGGGCCCAGGGTCAGTAGGGGGCCCCATGAGATGCCCCTGGTACCTTTTTCATAGGCTTTTGTGAGTTTGGGCAAGGACACGGGCCCCATGATTCCCTATTCCCCGGGGGCCCATGAGTTGTCAGTCCGCCCTTGGTATCCAATCAATAGGAAATTCAGAAATATTAACTAATGGTGGCCTGACACACTTCTATTTTATTATCCATTAACCACTTCAGCCCCAGGCCAATTCTGACATTTCTCTCCTACATGTAAAAATCAGCATTATCTGTTGCTAGAAAATTACTTAGAACTGCAAACATATATTTTTTGGCAGACTCCCTAAAGAATAAAATGGTGGGCGTTGTCATTTTTTACATCACATGGTATTTGCGCAGTAGTCTTTCCCCCCAGGTTCCGTCTGTGCAGGTGGTGCCGCTGCAGATCCGCACGAAAATCCGTGCTGCCGTACCACCCGCACAGAGAAATGCAGACCCACGGGCGGGTGCCGTTAGTTCTAATGGCATGCCACCCCCCCTGGAAAACAACTGTACTGGGAACCGAGGTTCCTGTATGGGCTGCGGTTTCCAAAGAAGTGCAGGGACTTCTTCCCTGCGTGTCACGGGCACAGGAGTCCATTCAAATGAATGCGCTCTCGTGCCCATGCAAAACGCATCCTGCACGGCTGCATAGATGTGAACCGGGGGTAAGAATGCAATAAATGCTTAAATTAGCCAAAACTGGAAGTGTCAAAATACTTGTGGCTTCCGGTTTCTTAAGCAGGCCATACATGGGTCGAATTCAAACGATTTTTTGATCGAAAATCAAAAACATTGTTTATTCTATAATCCGATGGTGCCACTAAATGATTTCGAAAATCGTTCATTTTTCACAAATTTTCCAGCATGCCCGATAAATGAAATGGGGAGGAACCACAAAAAATCGGCCGGTGCCATTGCCTCACCAACAGAGTGAAAATTGGCCAATTATTCTTAGGTCTGATTTTCAAACAAAAAATTGTTCGGAAATTGACCCATGTATGGCCAGCCTTAGACAATAGAGATGTTCAGGGCTGTTCCAATTCTCTGGCATCTCTATGGTCAGCTGCTGGAACCGTTGGCTTCAGTCCTGGGCTCCCCAGTGGGAGGGCAACAGAAGGGGGCCCTTTCCCTGCCTGTAAAAGCAATCCAGAAGCTAATTAGCTGCTAGGATTGCTTTTACATGAAAAAGTATTGCTGGCAGTAAAAAAAGATCATGGGATGATGCCTGTAGCTGCAGGCATTGTTATCACAGTATAACCAATTCAGCCTTAGCGACATACGGGTACGCTACCGAGGCTGAAGTGGTTAATATGAGATGCAATCAAACGATTGACTAATGGTCACCATACACACTATGATTTTATTATCTGATAAATGTGCAATTCAGTCAAAACAATCAACTAATGGTGGCCATAAACACTTCAGTTTTCCTGTTCAATGTGATCAAAACAATCCAATCTGCAAACAGTTGAATTGTCATAACTTTCTTCCACTCAATTGAGACTCAATTTATATCAGATTGGATGGAGCAGAGTCGATTGGCCAGGGCTGAATATTATTGATCATTTTTCATCAATCAGCAGCTTTGAGATACTTTGTTCATGCATACAATTGCATGTTGACTGATCAGAATATGAGACGACAGAGTGGAAGCAGAGATACAAGTGATAGGTGATGATTGAAATCCACTTCCCTGTGTGTGGCATATTGATCAGGTGGGTTGTTGACTATAGATCAATATGTCCTTTTGGAAGAGAACGACTGGAAAAGAAATCCATCATTTATTGAAGCTCGTGGCCATCATTAGACTCAATTTCAATTGGATTTGATCAAACTGAGTTGAGCGACCAGAATGGAATATTATCGATCACTTTTCATCAATCAAAAGCATTGAGATACTTTGTTCAAGAATACAATCATATGTCAATAGATATGATTATGCGATTACACAGTGGAAACAAATATATGATCAATAACAAACAATTGAAATCCACTTCTCTGTGTGTGACATATCGATCAAACAGTTTGTCAACTACACATCACTTATTCCTATCAGAAGAGATTAATCGGAAAATAAATTGATCATTTAAGCATGTGGCCACCATTAAACTCGATTTAAATGGGATTTGATCAAACTCAAGTCAGTCGACGAGGGCAGAATAATATCGATCTTCTGCATCAATTGGCAGAACTGACATATTTTGTTCATAAATACGATCGCATCTTGATTATTCTGAGATATTCATGGTGGACACAGAGATGCAAACGATACATTCAGATTATAAATTACGATTGCATCTTAACTATTGCTCAAAAACCACTTACCTACGTGAGGCATATAGATTGCATTTGTTGTCATCTCTAGATCGATTATTCCTATCAGAAGAGATCGATTGGACTAGAACTCGATCATTTAGTAAAACGTGTATGGCCAAGCAGAACAAAGCCCATCGATTTAACTGTTTCCCAAAGCAGATCCAAGGCATGCTGGGAATGATAACTGTCATATTTGATTTTGCTCTCAACCAAACTGTCAAACCATCAATTGGCTGGAGTCATAACTGAACACATGTGCAGCACCGTGGCAACTGCAGATCAAACAGAGGCTAAGATGGCAGCTTCCTGGGCTGTAAAGGATAGGAGGGTTTAGTCCCACTTTATGGAAGAACTATCATTACATTTATTTTCACTGTTCTGTCCTCTGTGGGACAAAGGACATGCTAGGTGTTGCCTGACCCTAGCAATGAGGTTGGATTGCCCCCCCCCCCCCCCTCTTCCCCTGCAGCCATCTGACAACATACCTAGGAAGGAGAAGGCTGTTTCATGATGACTGCTTGTCTTGGCTCCAAGCACCTTTCAGAGACCATCAATGGCAAGAGGAATACAGAGAGAAAGGGGGCTGTTCATATGGGCATCCAACACACTGCATAAAGACATGTACAGTATAGTCAGGGCCCTGGATAAGGGGGTACCACCAGTCCTCCTGTATAGGGCCCAGGCCAGCAGGGGAGCCCAGGCAGCTGGGTGAATTGAATATGGGCAGAGAGGGTGATTGGCACAGTAGTGCAATTACTGGAACCGATCTCCTGTATGGCACTCTCTGCAGCAGGTGAAAGCTGGCTTTTTCTCCTCTCCCTCCAGGTGGCTTTCAGCTGCTGCAGAGAGAGTCATACAGGAACTCGGTTCCAGTAATTGACCCCCCATACCCATCACCCTCCCTGTGCACCATACATTTCCCCCTGCTACCTAGGCCCCCTTGTGTGCACCCACCCCCCTCCGTGCTGCCGGCTTTCCTCTCCTTATCACTGGCAGCTGCAAGCACAAAATAGAATCCATCAGGGTGGAGAGTGGGGGGGAGGGGTCTAGTAAATATATCACATTTACCAGCCCCTTTGTTTCATGAATGAACACAATGAGTGTTTAGTACCAATCACTCACTGTGTTCATTCATAACTGAAGCATAGAAAACTATGGGGGGTTTTTTTTTTTTGGGGGGGGGCCTTTTGAGTTGGCTGTATGGGGGCCCCAGCAGTTTCTAACAGTAGCCCTTAGTATAGTTTATAGTTTTGTACACATCCGTACAGAGCAGTATGGAAAGCTTTGGGGTCAATTCGCTAAGAGATGAATACCGCAATAATTTTTTAGTTCAAATAACTCATACAATATTCACTTCTTAAGTAGTCAATTCACTAATAAACATGCGTTTTTTTTTACCGAATGCGTTAAATATTTATATTTTGCGATATTTAGCACTTAGATTTTGAGTTATTTTGGTGTTTTTTCACAATTTGTTGCAGGTTAACATTGCACCAGAATGCACACAGCAATATTGTGAAGCTATGAAAACATTGTAGTGAGCGTTCAGTCACAAAATGATCTCCCTGTGATGAAATGTTACCATTTATTTTCATTCCTG